GTGTATTCTAGTAGGTTATCAAGTTAGGATTCATCAACAGCGGTTTCCTAATAGAATCGGAACCTAAGAACCTTGTTGGTGGGAGTCAGTGGATAGGTCAAGCTGGGGTCAGAAATGCTGTGGATTGGCATGTACTGTAGATGGTGAATTGCATCTTCGTTTTGATGATTTTTTAAGCAAAGGGATTTAGGGGTTTGGTTTGTCAAATGAGGTTTGCTTGAAAAGTGATAACCATAGAACCCCCTCTGGTTCAGCTGAAAATTAAATGGAAAAAAAAAAAAAAAATTAAAAAAATTTCACCTTTAAGTAATGGTCATTTAAAAATAACATTTTGAAGTCTGCAGAGTGCCCTGACTTTCTGACAGCAAATTTAAGTAGTTTTGCAAAGCATCTGTCAACCATTTTTTCATTTATCTAGTGACAGTGAAAATTGATAAATTGTGTAGTCCTTTTAAAGGGAGAATTTTATTTATTTATTTTTTGTTGGGTGACAGTTTTTCATTAATATGTAATTAATAGTTTGTGGGATTATCAAAGCTATATGGTGGTTGTTATAACTAAAACAGAGAAACCATAATACTTCAAAAAATATTTGCAAATATAGACAATTTAACAGACAATAGTTTAACTTTACCCCATTCTAATAATTACGACGATAGTGTACATAACATAATATTGTGTATAGCTATTGGTGGACAGATAAGTATATTACTCTATACCATATTATAACCAAACAAGTTTACTCGCCATTTCGTCGAAAATTTGTAGGTTTGATTTTTGGAATTCGGAGATAACAAATCATTTATATCATATTAGTTCGACTAATGCATTTTGTATTGTAATTATTTATTTGTGAGGTGGGAAATGATTATGTTTTCCTCATATGTTTAGATATTACCATACATTTGTTTGAAAGAAAAAAAAAATACATTATACCGCTGATGTGAAAATATTAAGGAAACATGGAGATCTATTTCCATATTTTGCTTATTCCAAGCATAACCGTTAGCATGTGTCAAATTATTAAATTCCTGATAAATAGATGAAAATTTGGAGTTTTATTTTGGGTTTTCAGGAGTTTGTGGATTGAGTAAATTGACCTGCTGTTTCATGGGCATGTGCCATCCAAATGTGCTATCCCCTAAGCTCCGCCCCTAAGACATTGTTACTAAGGCCAAGTAAAAAAAAAGAGTAGTTTCTCGTCTTAATATTTTGACAGAGAATGAGGGCACTTTTTTTTTTTTTAACTCGGAGATGGCAAATCCAAGATGGTCGATGGGAAACAGCTACTACTGTTATACTTTTACGAAGTAGACACATTGAAAGCAAATAAAAGAAGCGCTAGACATGATTCATACCAAATGTATCTCCAACTACAAACGATCAAGAGAGGACCTGATGTGAGTTAGCCAGATTTTTGTAAAATAAAGAAAATAAAGTAAAAAAAAAAAAAAAAAAAAGTGCGGCTGAGAAAATGGATACGCAATGGGACGAGATGCTAGTATTTTTTTATTTCGCCTAAAATGTCTTGTAAACGCAACTTGCGTGTTTGTGGGATGTATGTCCAATATAACACGTTGTGCTTGGTCAGTTAAAAAATATGACTGATAACCTCAGCGGCGGATCTATTGATGTCCAAAAGGGGAGGGGGGGGCGCCTGAAAGTTGGGCGATCGAGACAACACTATCCTAGAGGTTCAGGTTCCATGCCCCCTGCGAAAATTTTGTGTTTTAGACACGCCGCCCCAAAAAACATTTGAGGCCTTTTTTGGGGTATTGTTTTTTTCTTTTTCTTTTTTTCTTTGTATTTCACCCCGAAAGGGGGCCGGGCCTTCCCTCTACTAAATCCGCCCCTGAACCTGGAATGTCCATTTAGTTGTCACTTGTTCATGTAAATTCGTCCTTCTGGCCCTCATAAACATGAGGCCTCCCCTCATCAAGTTAGATGTCATTTTAATATTTGTTGAACATTTAATATTTTGGTTAATTCTTAATTGTTAGTAATATAATTTGTTCTGGCCCCGTTAAACATAAATTACCATTCATCATGATACAGTTCCCCTTCAATTCGAGACCCCGCCTCTTTAGGAACTAAATATTTGGGTGGTCTTGGGGGTTCGGTCTCGATCTGCACATGGAGAGTTAGCTTAGTGTTCACTTTTAATATATTGAAGATTGGTGTTCAGTTCTTTGAAAATGAGGATATTTCTCTTGGACAGATGAGTGCTCCGATCCCTTGACATACAGTATATTTCCAACTTTAATCTTTTTACATATTTGTCTATGTCTAGTCCTACTCCTCTTTTTCTTTTTTCGACCTTTTAAGCACATTCTCATCTGAGTTTTCAAGAAAAATACAATGATCCTGCCATCCTGCTAATCTCAATGGGCCGATGGCCAACAAGCTAACCACTACCCACCACTAATTGCATCTGCTCTTTTGCTGTTATGTAAATATTCACCATTCTTGTTATGAGCCATGTTCTCTGGACGATTATCTTTTCTAACCACCATTCGTAATGTCCATAGGCCTATATAATCTTTTTTTTTCATTCAAAAAGTGCCTCTTGAATTTTTAATTATTAAAATAATTTCCCATAAGAACCCCTCGATTTTCATCTATTTCTATAAGCGCCCCTCAGAAAGTGCAAAAAATATTTTAAGCGCCCGGGCGCTTATTCGCGCGAGTACGGTACATGCAAAATGGGCTATACTGTATAACACTGACTTGATAAAGTTGACGACGAATAAAACGCGTTCTGTAATAGTTTAACGCACTGTTTTCAAGGTCGCAGTGTTCGATTCCCGGTTGTTTACAGTAAAAACGACCATCACATTTGAATCCGTAATATCACATTTATTAATGAATGTAAGTACATGAAACTTGGTACAGTTATAAAATACATTATTTAAAATGTTTCTGCCAAATTTCATTTCAATCGGTCAATGGTAACACCTCCGTTGTTAAGGAAGTATCGAACACACCGAACACATGTGAGTGAGCTACACGCTGAGTGCACTGCCAGCGACCAGCGTGACCACTCACAATTTATGATATACCCAATGACTGACTGGGTCGAAATTACCCAAGATTCAGTAAAAATTGTCAAAAATTACCCAAGCTTCCTGAAAATGCATTAAAATTTGAAAAAAACGTGTTTTTCGCATGTATAGTTTCCCTTTTAGTTCAATTTATAAACCATTTTTTATTGTAATTGTTTGTGTTAAATTATTAAAATTAATATTCATGAGGTGATAATACAGATAGAAAAATACGCTCTCAGTCGGAAAGTGTTATCAGTAGATCAGTGATCAAGTTTTATTATGTAATGCATTAATTAAGTAAGATTAATGGCAACGCAAATCACAAATAAACAATTCTGAACCCATGTTTATAGCAATTAACAGTCAATTAACAATGTTATGTGCACTTCATTGAGTTTTGCTTACTTGAATGGACTGACATATACTTTGTTACTTCTTAATTCTTCCTCTATGACAAAAATATTTAATTTTCTTAGTAAAAATAAAATACCCAAGGATTTGAATGGAATACTCAAGAACCCAAGATCAAGTCAAAATACCCAAGATCTTGGGTAAATACCCAAGCAGTGGTCACACTGCCAGCGACTGGGCGTTATAAACATCAGTTTTAGGCCAAAAAAAAAATGTTCTGGTTCTGGTCAGACCAAAGTTATAGAATTGATGCGGCGATGTAGGTTTTTTTTTTTTTTTTTTTTTTTTGGAAAAGCATGGAAAGTACCGAAAAGGCGTTTTTAGTATCTTTTTTATGTTCTGCTATTACGCAATACATTGTTGTCCTTCCACATCCTCGATTTCGCTTCATTTGCCATGGGGACCCCGTCCGTCGTAATTCATCACCATTATCAGCATTAATGGGTACGCTTTGAAAAAATCTGACGGCCGATGATCCCACCATAGCCGTGACTTTCTTCGATCCCGGGTGCAAATGTCGTTCACCACTGCTTGAGGAGGACGACAGTCAGACTTTCATCACATACTTACACGCTCAGCAAACTCGCCGAGCTACGGTATCGCACGATAAAATGCCAAAAGGTCCCTTTTATTACGGCGTATAAGCTGCACCTGTGTATAATTCGCACCCCTAATTAGGACGCAAAAAATCACAATTTTTTTTGTCACCTGTGTATAAGCCGCATCTATTTTTTAAGCCCCAAACCGTTCACATAATTTTAATTTTTTAATTATTTTGAAACACTGACATTATTTACAAATGTTACAAACTTCATCTTTTTCTATTGAAAAAGATGACAAACAACTGGAAATGCGTGTAAACTTCAGGCTACCGCAATGAAACAACATATTCCTGCTCTGAGGAAATCTCCATTTCAGGCCTAGATCTAATCGTGGCTTGACCAAGGCTTGACAGATCAGCGCGAGAGATCCGATGTTACATGCATACATTGTCGTCGTCGCGCTCAGTTCTCAAAATTACGCCTTCTATTTTACCAATTTTGCATCTCAGTGGTTCGATTTTAGTAAAAATACTTGTCTGTTTTATGTTTTATGTTCTAAATGTTAATTTCGGAAGTAGTATTTCTTAAATTTGTACCTGAGTAAAAAGAAGATCTTTGAAAAAAATTTTTTTTTAAATGCCGACATGATTTTTTGATAAATTTTGGTCGCTCGCGGAGGGGGCAACGCAAAATAATTTCTTTGTTATCACTGTGCCCAATTAGAACCAAACTGGGTGTCGGGCACAGTGATTAACTGTCTCGGTTTTTATAAAATTCATCCTATTTCTTATGTGCGCAATTAGAACCAAACTGGGTATAGTATCGCACAATGTTATACTGCCTCGTATTTATGAAGTTCATCCTATTTCTTATATTAAGAAATAGGATGAACTTCATAAGTACGAGGCAGTTTAACACTGTGCGCTACTACTATACCCAGTTTGGTTTTAATTGAGCACAGCGATAAGAAATAGGATGAACTTCATAAATACGAGGCAGTTTAACATTGTGCGATACTATACCCAGTTTGGTTCTAATTGCGCACATATTGATAAGGAATAGGATGAATTGCGCACATATTGTAAAGTAGTAAAATAAAAATGACTGTTTTCATGCTTAACAAACGGCAGGCCTAGACCTATACTGCTTAGGATATCTTATTATAATATACATTCGCAGTCGCCCCTTCGGCGCTCCATACACCGCGACTGAAATGCACAACCAAAATAGCACGACCGACCTGCAGGCGCGACCGAAATGATCGGATACTTCTTAAACTGCGGTGTTCGACCTTTCCTGTCATTCGACACTATTTCTACCCCTCTTGTTTTACTCCTACACTTCAATGTCGATCTTTACCCACTAAGCCTAGGGCCTAGGCCAGGGGTGGCGCCAGGACCTGCCCGACGGAGGGGCTAAAGGCCCCGACGGGGGGTGGGGGCTAATGGAGCGAATCGAGTCTGACTTGGCTGGGGGCAGGGGGCCGCCTACGGCCCCCAGGTGGGGGTTCATGGGGGCGAAGCCCCCTGGAAGCCACGGATATTTGATGAATTATGGCAAATTTTTATTACTTATTTGATAGGCATCGAGTTACTATAATTATGACTTCATGTAGGCTCTGCTTTCTAATGTTGACATCAGCTTCCAAAACCAAAACATTTTTGAATAAAGCAAGAAACAAAGAGTTTGCAATGTAACCATCTAATTTATTTTCAAATCCTCATTCTTGAAAGTGAAATTGTATATTTTGGAAATTTTGCATGAAATCTGTCAACCACGTTGTCATGGTCGAGGTTGCTTCACCTATCACGATGTATTCCAACCACCATGAGGCTAAAGAAGAGGCCTAATTTTATGCATTTTTCAAGTAATTTCACCTTGGCATTTTACAGGTCGATTAGCATTGTACAAAAGCACAAACTTTTCATCGTCAAGCACATTGCTGAAATATCCGAAGAGGATCGCTTCCCGGACTCTGAAGATTCTCCATGATGGTAAGGCATGATCCTTGCTCAAAAAGTCATCGTCTTGACTCCTCGTCAACTGAAATTGAAACTGATTTCAGCGGTGGATCCCTATGGGCAGTGAACCTGCTTGTCGTTCACTCAGTCTAAAAGTTCCTATTGATTATGATCATTAATCTCTGTTGTACGTGTGTTATATAACAGTATTATTGCTCGTTAAACCAGGTTGAACTTTTAATCAGTTGGTGAATTCACATTGGATGATTTATCAATCGGCAGACACTGCTAATTATACACGTCGATTATCAACGTATGATATGGTCCTACACCGCTAGGCCTAGTGCTATGCCCCAGTTTAATTTTATTGACTATGTTTTAACACAATATCACGGGTGAGCCTACGCTGACAGTGATGTTCTAACGAAAGTATGACTCTATGAGTAGGTTAAAACTATACACAATATCTAGGCCCACTTTTTAACTGTTTACTAAAAAAATGAAAAAAAAAAAAAAAATTGTGGGCAAGGGTGATAAACTAAACATTTTTTTAAAAATTGGGCCTAAGTTTTACAGTCCTGAATTCAGCTAAGTAAAACTTGTTGGCTAGTAGCTAGTACAGTATTGTCTTTTCGACTTCTAGTACACCATGGCAGTGGTTACACACACTAGAATATACAACCAGGCCTACTGCTACCAGGGCTGGAAAATGTGCACGACCGGTGGTTGGAAGCGTTGACCTTCTTTTACTACAGAGGAATTTTAGAATTTTTTTTTTTTTTTTCACATCACAATTTAATGTATCCTGGTATTTAAATTTGATATTTATGCTTGCTTCAAACCACTAAATGTACTTGCATGAACAGAACGAACATAACATCGTTTTTCGAAGTGGAAGATGCATTATACAACTCTGTGAGTGATTCAATGGCCTATCCAAATCTAGGCCTATAATTCCGGTGAAAAAATCTGACACCCTAATTAAATATAACTTTATGTAGTACTGTAGGCATATGCGCCTAGGCTTTGGTCTTTACCCCTGTCTTCAACAGTTACTTTACATGGACACTAGTATTATTTGTGAAATTACCAGTATACAGATGCACATCATTGTAATAGAAAGTTTAAACTTTGTTTCTTAACTCCTTCAGTGTGAACTGATCTTTTAAAAAAATTTAATGTATTCTAAATATCAGGTCAAAGTTCAAATCACAAGTAAGTACATATTTGTGACCTGATATCAATAATAATACTGTACATGAAAATCTGTCCATTTTAAAAAAATCAGTTCACATAATCAATTGAGAAACAAAGTTTAAACTTGAAACATCAAACTTTCACACATTGACAATATTACATGCATCTTGGTCCTCCTCGATTTTGGTGCTCATAAGAAGTAGGATGTAGATTTTAGAATGTTATTTATTTATGTTCTTTTTCGCAACTGACAGCCAACTCAAGTGGATTGATTGACTGAGTCATTTAGCTAGGCCAGGCTGACTTGAGCAGATTGACCACAGACCGACTCAAGTGTTATCGACGATGTGTCAAATTCTGGCCAGCGGACTGGACGCAGCCCGAAGGCATGTAAGCCCGACTGATGGGCTTGCTACTTAAGGCCTATGCTAGGCCTCGTTTGGTTGATGGATTGGAAAAGTAAGATGCAAATTTTATGTTTTTTAACTGCTGTCCCAATTAATAAAAGTAAAACCTTATAAATAATGAAATATAAAAAAAAAATAAAATTATAAGATGCAAGGGTTTGTCTTGTCTCTCAGATTATCTTGTATATATGTTAAATAGTTAAATATTAATCAAAGGGGATAATATATATGAGCGTTTTTCAGCAAACTTAGAAAAAAATGATAATTTTAAAATCTACTTTATTAAGTCAAGTTTGGCACCATATGAAACCTTAAGGAGTATATTTTTTGAGTTTGGGATAAATTTTGCATAAATGACTAATTGCCCTTGCTAATTTGCAGATGCAAAGCATAATTTAAAGTAGCAAACTAAGGGTTGACATTGCATATTTGTGGCAAAGACAAGCCAAACCAGTCACTCGTCGCAAATTGTGTTTCAGAGAAAATAGCAAAAACATGCTAGAATGTAAAATCATTAGGCCGACCAGCCCTCCATAAACTAACGTTAGAATACCACACTTTCGGCGGTAAAGAACAATTAAAACCTCATAAAAAAGGCAACTAATCCATTTACCTATAATTGAATCCAAGGACACCAGTGTTAAACACTCAGTACTTATCCTTGATAATGCGTTAATCCAATTAATATAGTGAGATAACCTAACGTTAGTTTATCGAGGGCGGGTTGAGCTAATGTTTTTAAAAATTTATTTTATTTCACTAAACTAAGGTTTATGTATCTATACATCATGCTGTGCTGTAATTTTTCCCAATATGGATGTTAAAACAACACTTTTTAATGATTTGCCTGAAATCATAAACTTTGAAGGCTGATTTCATATATATTGTTTTTTAAATGCTTGTAACTTCATAAGGAAATGTCGGATTTGAATGCTTTTTTTACCATTTTATAGCTCTTATTTTTGTATTATTATTTGTATTAATAACTCAAAATCGATTTATGCGACGAGTGACTGGTTTGGCTTGTTTTCACCACATTTTACATTTAATTCAATACAAAATAAATTTGATATGTTATTTAAACCAGGGCAATTGAAATAAAATTTAGTAAGTGAAATTTTAGTAAAAACATTTATATTTCACGCCAATTGATTTCATAATGTCTGTGTTTCTCGATGTTATGCTGTGACGTAAAAAGTTATTGTTTTTAAGTTATTTCAAATACTGCTGGATAAAATTTTAAAATGTATTTCTAAGTTCTGAAGAACATTAATACCTACAGTACTACTACTACTAAGAAATCATGTTCATTTAAACTCTACTTTAAGAACTCTAGTTACCAGAGAAAAATATATTTCTGTTTCGTCACGCTGTGACGTTTTTGCATCACAGCATTACAACAATATTTTTATTTAAGATACTGAGGCCTTCCCCAAATTTTTTTTAAAAGTTAAATGTAGATTTTAGTAATCCGCATATTAATGTTTACCAGGAAAAATAATTGTTTGTAAAACTTTTTTACTTTATGGACCATTGATCTAGCAAAAACCTAAGTTATATTTAAGTACTGTACTAGTAAATGAATTTTTAAACTCTTTTGCGAAATTGTGGAGAACATTCATACAAACTTTAAAATCATGTTCATTTTAATTAAGAACTTAAATAAACCAAGAGGAAAATGCTCAAAGTTTGTCACACCGTGACGATTTGGCATCACAGCGTAGAGTTGTGTAGAGTTTTTTAAGATAATCCATTGAAGTACTTTACATTATCATACGATTTGTATTCACATCAATAACGTCTGGATCTGATCAACTTGGTTGATACCTGGCTTTTTATGTAAAGGGTTTAAATTGTTTCCGAGTATTTATCTAGATGATATTGTATTTATTTTACCATATTGTTCATGTTTGAGCAATTTTCTACTTATATATTTATAATCTAAAATGCTATAAAATGGTAATAATTCCACAATCCACATGTCACACAGTGTCGGTCATGCAGTGGCGCTAACCTCTAGTGCATTTTTGGCATATTATTCAAAACATCCTAACTTAACTTTCATTATTAAGGTATATAACTAAAATGTTTAAATAAATAAAATAGAGTAAATTATGTAGTGTAGTTTCACAGGAATTTTCATTTTAATTTTAACAATAAAAACATGAAAAACAAAAAGGCACGCCATGATGCTGGAAAAAAGCAATGTTTTTTGTTACGGTAGCGTTATAATTGTCAAATGTTTAGTCGATACCTATAGTGTATCAGGCCTGCCTGTCTTTGGTAGCAATTATGTGAAAGAAAGGTATCTACTATTTTTGAAAAACTTTTTTAGTCTAGAAACTTTTGCTAAAATGTCACGCT